CTTCTTATTTCTATTTCCAGATCTCTGTACTTGGAGATCTTTTCATTGTACTTAACTTGCAGATTATTGTTGTTAGGTATCGCCACATCGATTAGAGTTGTTTGTCTTGTTAGTTTATTAACTAGCACGAGATCTGGTCTATTATGTGCTACAGTTTGGTCTGTGAGCACAGTGCGATCCCAGTATAGCTTGTAGTTGTCATTCTCAAGCATACTTTCTGGAACGTATTGATAATATGGGAGATGGTTTGTTTGTAGAAATCCCAGTTTAAAAGCTATCTCTTGATGGAGATCTTCCCTACTGAGTCATGTCGTTCCTTATATTCAGTTGAAGCAAATGCCTGGCAGCCTCCGGTAAGATGTTGGATAGTTTCTTGGGCTTGACATCCATATCGGCATTTGTCGTTTTGGACCTGAGGGTCTTTGACGATATATTTCAGGTAATTTTTGGTTGGTATAACCTGATCCTGAATGGCGAGTAATTAACCTTCTTTTTCAGGAAAGATCTTTCCTGATGTCAGCCAATAGTTCGACGCTATATTGTCGACATAGTCTTGACTGACCTCATTCGGATATCGCCCGTGCAGAGGTTTACCCATCCAGATGCGCATTTTTTCATTTTTAGTAAGATGGTTTATGCGCATTTCTTGTTCCCTCAGGTTGATCGGTGTTGTGTCATCTACTGCGCAAATCGCGCGATGAACAGTAGATGTCTCCGCCTTCACCTGAAAATAAATTCTTAAATTAGTAATCTGTTTATCTAATTGCTCGCTTATATCAATAAGTCCTCGTCCTCCTAAATATCGCGGTCATGTCGTTCTTTCTACTGCACTTCGAGGATGGTGTTTTTGTGCCTTTGTGAGGTGTGTTCGTACTTTTCTCTGAAGAGTTTCTATATCCGTTTTAGTCCATTTAATAATCCCAAATGAATAGCTAAGCGCGGAAAATGTGTAGGTGTTTAATGCCTTAAACAAATTTTTGCTATTAAGATCTAGTGAGCGGAGTAGCTGTTTTACTTCAAGATATTTATACATGTCATTTTCGCCCACAGCCTCGATGTTTTGGCTATTTTGCATATCGAATCCGCCGGGCTGAACGTTTCCCTTGACTATATTTAGTACACGACATTTGTCTAACCCAAAGTGCATACTGATATCATTTGAAAAATGTTCTATAGTTTTTAGCATTTGATCTAAGTGATTTCGAGTGGAAGTCATGAGTTTCAAATCATCCATATACAACAGATGATTAAGCTTCGCCTACAGTGTTGTTGTTTTTAATGCTGAAACCTCAGTCAGTGGAGCTCAATAGCTGGGATAGTGGGTTCATCGCTAGACAGAACCACAAGGGACTTAGCGAGTCTCCTTGGAATAGGCCGCGGTTAATTGTAATATTTTCCGTTTCGATATTTTTTCACCAGGTATAATCCGACAAGCGAGAGCTGGCGGGTGAGCTGCGCGAAAATAGAAAAGGAATTATTCTAAGAGAGATAGGAGAGGTACTTAATCGCGATTATAGTTATATAGTATAGGTACTTAAACGGTTATACACGATGTGAACTCCTAGCCGACTGCAATAGAAATGAGCAATACCTTCTACTTTTCAATTTGTTCTACGAGCAAACCGCCAGCTCTCGCTTGTCGGGTTATACTTGGAGGTGAATTTTAGTCTTCCAATCTGTGATTATATGTCTTAAGAAGGTTACTATATTATCATCGACTTTATATATTCTTAATATATCTACCAGCCATTCATGCGGCACTGAGTCAAAGTCTTTCTCATAGTCAATAAAGGCAGTAAAGAGATTCCTTTTTTTTGTGTATGCCTGGTTAGAAATGACTGAGTCGATAATAAGTTGTTCTTTGCAACTCATGGAGCCCTTAGCGCATCCTTTCTGTTGAGGTTCTATGAGTATTATTATTATTATTATCCAGATTTAGCCATACGGCTCACACTCCCTCTAAGGGGAAAATTCACTCATCCCAGATACCTACGGTATCAAAAGGATTGAGCTCTGGTGGGACTCTTTCCATGTTATCGAGTCCTAGGTGACTTGGTACGTCGGTGTATCTCCTAAAAATTTTCGCACGCATCTGGACGTCGAAAGTAGCACAGCTTTCTGCATGACCTTATACAGATGTTCATTTATTTATTATTATTATTATTTTTTTTATTATTATTATATAATAATATTGAGCCAAAGCAGAGCTTATGTGGCCCAAATTACAAAATATTTGTATGTACTAAACTAAATAATATAATATAAATCAAATTTTCTCACAAAGTAAAAATAAAAATAATTTTTAAAAGAATTAGTACTTACAAAAAGTTCTGGCAATAGCAAATTACAAAAATACAAATATTACCAAGTGTACATAAGTTTTTAAAAGAAAAAAAATACAACCAATATAATTAACATAAGACTAGGTACAATATTTTGTTCGTTTTCATCAAACTTGTTTTTGAAACTATTTAAACTAGTAGCTTCTACTATGTCATCACTTAAACCGTTTAATTTATCAAAAACTCGGTTAACTAAAAAGTTTTGCCTTAAGGTGGTTGTAAAATACTTCTTTTCAATTTATAGTTATGACCTCTTAATCTACCAACCCCCTCCAAAAATCCCCACTAAGAATTATATAAGTAGATATGACATCATATCTTTCTCGTCTAAGAGTTAATGGAGACAACTTGAGCTTTCTTAGTCGGATTTCATAGTCTAATCTTCCATAATTAAAAGGTAGCTAGGTCCCTTTTAGTTGTACTCCTAATAAATTAATGTCTTTTTGCAAATGAGGTGACCAAACTGACACTGCAAATTCTGGGTCAGGTCTGACATAACTTTTGTAGAAATTCAAAAACAAGTCTGCAGATATTCTATGAAAAGCTTTTGTGATAAATAATAAAGCAGAGTTCGCTTTACTAACTACTTTTGGTGTTTGAGTAGACCAACTTATTATTTGACAAAAAGTCAGAAAACTTAGCATGTAAAGAAGCAATATTAGTCTAAAAAATATTTATTGTTGTCAACTATATTTGTTTTTTTGCGGAATTTTGTTGGTTAGTACTAATAATAGTTGGAACTTTATTAATATACTTTATTGTTAGTTCCTTGTTAAGTAGATTACGTTTTTCCAGTTCCTCTCGCACTTTATTCAAATAGTTTATTTGATATTTAGTTAAGTCATCCTTCAATTGAATAAATAAAGGACTATCATTATCTGCAAATAAGTTTTTTATAGATATAATACTTATAGAGTGTAAATTTTATGATATCATACTTTCAAAATAAAAGTTGCAGTATCTACTATTCTGTAACTCTGTAAGTTTCAGCATGACCGGTGGCATGACCAGTTTAAAATTCAAACCGATAACATTCCTACTAAGTTTTGTTATATTCTGCCAAATTGTTGTACAAACTAATTGATATGGCAACCCTGTTACTATGTCGTTTCGTTTGAAGCGTTTCGAAGCCGAACGTAATGCTATCTATCGATGATAAATACTACCACTGTTTCAGATGGAGCCATCTCCCTATATTACACATTTGAAGGCGGCGGTTCAAAACATAATTCTTGTTTAACGAGATTTTTCATATGTTTAAAAAAATATATTTAACGTTTTATTGCATATATTTTCCACTTTTATAGTTTTATATATGTTGTAATTAAAAAAATTTTTGGTTTCTTACCGGAAGCTTTATTATAAGCAGAAACATACTATTTTTTCCTACTGGGACAAAACTGTAAATTCAAAAATTAAAAAAAAATTCCTAAGTATTTCTTATAATTATATCTTGATGATGTAAAAAAATTAACAAAATCATATGTCTGGTTTTCCCGCTTTATACTTGGAAAAAAGTAGTTTTTTGGAGTTTTTTTTAAAACGAAAACATGAAGTTTGCTTAAAAGTTGTCAAAACAGTTCTAGTCATCTCATACACCTTCTCAAATTTTTTCAAATTTTTTGAATTTGGAATTTATTTTTTGGGGGGTGCAGATCAACCTTAATGTCAAGTATTAATGATGCATTATAAATTTTCTTTGAAGGATGTATTAAGATCCGGAAAAAAAACTATATATTGATAATAAACTAAAATAAATAAAATAAAATAAAAGACAGACCAAATGCCAGACAAAATATTAAATTAACATACTGCGAGTCTGTTAATATTCATCAAATAAAAGATTTAATTTGATTTTATTGTATTTAATTTTTTTTTATTTCATTCTATTTTGTTTTATTTTATTATAAAAAAAAACAAAATTTGTTTGTATTTTAAAAACTATTTCCGAAGTGGAAATTGAAACGTGAATAAACTTATTTTAAACTTCAATTTTGACTAATTCTCATTAAAACAGTAATTGCTTAAAGATGCCACAAGAAAATAGCTTCAGAACAACATTTTATTCTAGTTCATTTTATTTTATAATATGTACTCTACTTTATTTCATTTTATTCTTATTAATTTGATTTTAACAAACTTTATTTTATTTTATTCTATTCTATTCTATTTTATTTTAATTAACTCTATTTATTCTATTCATTCTAGTTTACTCCATTTTATTCTATTTTATTCTAATTTATTTTATTTTATTTTGTTATATTTTACTGCCTAATTAACATATCTTTCCATTTGATGTAGTAACATGAGAGCCCCCGTTATTAGGTACACGATCTAATAAAATACAAAATAACGCATGTTTAAAAGAGAGTTACTGCTAACTCGTTAAAGAAATCTTTTAGTTTAACAAATGACATTAAGTATTTTTATATACCTAATATAAAAATAACGTATAAATGCCTATAAGATCTATTTATTACTTATATACCTAATCCTGGATTAAGAATTAAAATAGATTATTGAAAAAAGTAAATTGTTGAATAAAAGAATGAATACTATAATCCATAATACTCATCTTAAACTATTAAGAACCATTAGATATAGCTAGTTTAGCTGGCACAAATAGTACCTATTTATTTTTAAAATTTTCTGTTCTAGCTTGTACGTACACACTTCAATTCTCCTCCCAATCTGTACAGTGAATCAAATGTGGTCGATAGTATTCAGAAGCGAACGGGAAATAAACTGTAAGTATAATTAAATGAAATTTTCTACCCAGCAAACTTAGGTAATGTTATGAATAATAGGCAAACATTAAAACATGCATTTAATAACGTGATAATGCTATACTTATAGTTATTTATTGTACAAACCTTAAAAATATATATCGTCGATTTTGTATTATTGTATGATGTAACGCCACAAAATATTGTATGAATTAAAATTGCATGTGGGAATAAATTTTGTTTCGATCAAATTCGAAATTGAATTTACTAAGAATTTTGACCATGATAAACGGCATGTGGAATGAAATCTTAGATTCCCTTATCGAGTTATTTATCAAGCTGTTTGCTTTGCAAGTGTTAGAAAGCACGCTGGTCAAAATTTGAATTCGATTTTGCCAGGAAGAAATCGTTTGATTTCTTTTTTTGTTATTAGATGGCGTAGTTACGTCCGTATATAGTTATTTTCTAACTATTGCCTAAGAAGGGAATATATTTTGTTTCGATCCAGAAAGGTGTTAGAGCCAAAGGTGTCGACCAAGAAAGTGTCTTGAGTTATTTATCAAGCTGTTTGCTTTGCAAGTTTTAGAAAGCACGGTGGTCAAAATTTGAATTTCATTTCGCCAGGTAGAAATCGTTTGATTTCTATTTTTGTTATTAGATAGCGTAGTTACGTCCGTATATAGTTATTTTATAACTATTGTCTAAGACGGGGATATATTTTGTTTTGAGCCAGAGAGGTGGCTATACCGCTCTGACGAGATCTAAAGACCAAACGACATGGGGAATGCAATCTTAGATTCCCTTGTCGAGTTATTTATCAAGGGAATATATTTTGTTTCGATCCAGAGAGGTAGCTGTACCGCTCTGACGAGATCTAAAGAGGTCTAAATACGTATAAGCGGCTTGCTGCTGCTCTGTATTGAAACAAAATCCAAGTACTGTCTTTATATTTTATTTCTTTACTCCGTTTGGAGTATCAGAAATTGAATTCACTATGAATTTTGACTATGATAAACGGCATGTGTAATGCAATCCTTGATTCGCTTGTCGAGTTATTTATCAAGCTGTTTGCTTTGCAAGTTTTAGAAAGCATGGTGGTCAAAATGAATGAATGAATGTGATTTCGCCAGGTAGAAATCGTTTGATCTCTCTTTATGTTTCTCTCTCGTATGATCTCTCTTCTGTCTAGTATGGCGGCAATTTCATCGTCCCAGGTCTTCATCGGTCTGCCCCTCGGTCTTTTCAAGGTTCTTCTCGCTTCCCACGCTTGTTTCACTTGGCTTTTTTTATCCATCCTTACCATGTGGCCGTACCATCTCAGTTGGGCTTCTTCGATTTTCTTCTCTATTGATTGGACTTTAAGGCGTTCTCTTATTTCATCGTTCCGTATCCTGTCCATTATGGTTACCCCTAGTACTCTTCTTAGATACTTCATTGAAATACTTTGCAGTTTATTTTTTAGTCTGGTGGTAAGCGTCCAGCTTTCACATCCAAATGTTAAGATAGGTACAAAAACTGTGTTATAGATAGCTATCTTTGCTTTTTGGGATACTTCTTTTCTCGATAGGAATCTGCTCTTAATTGCGTGGTATATCCGGAAAGCATTTGCTATTCAATTGTTTATCTCTGCTTCTTGTGTACCCTTACTCTCTAGTTGCACTGACAGCTATTTGAAGGTTTCGACTTGTTCTAAAGTAAAGTTATTGATTTTAATGTTTGTATGTTGGTCTGTTTTCCCACATACCATGACCTTGGATTTACTTTCATTAATTCTCATATTACGTTTTTCAAGTTTATCTCTTTATATTTGGAGGTTTCTCTTAAGTGCGTCCTCGTTTCTTCCAAATACGACGAGGTCATCTGCAAATGCGCATTTCGCTATTTGTATCATTTCCAGGTTTCTATGTCCAACAAATATTTTCGATGTTTCTTCTCTAGTTTCCTTCATTACATCATCTAGTACAATATTGAACAGGATGGGGCCTAGTACACCTACTTGTCGTAAGCCATCATTGACTCTAAACTCTTCTGATTCCATATTATCTGTTCTTACTCTGTTTCTTGTGTTCTTGTATAGGCTCATAATAGCTTTTCTGAGTTTGCTGTCTACTTCTCTGTTTCTTAGGCTTTTGTCTATTTCGGTTCGCGGGGTTCTATCAAATGCTTTTTCGAGGTCTATGAAGGCTTGGTATAGTTCCGTGCTTGTATTTCGTGCATTTTGTATTAGATGCTTAAGTGTAAAAACATGGTCATGGATGCTTCTTTCCTTCCTGAAACCGCTCTGTGACTGCTCCAGCTTATGGTCTACTACTTGTAGTAGCCTTTTCTCTAGTACTCGTTCGTAAACTTTGGAAGGGATACTCAGTAGAGTTATACCTCTGTAGTTGCTGCATTCTCGTCTGTCACCTTTTTTGAAAATGGGTAGAATAACGCACACTTCCCAGTCTTTTGGGATCTTGTTCTCATTCCATGCTTTATTGCAATCTTTTCTAAGCATTTCATTTCCATTTTTTTCCCATATTTTTTAGCATTTCCGCAGTTACCTTATCATAGCCAGCTGCCTTTCCTCTTTTGAGCCTGAGTATTATTTCTTATTGCTTTATTAATAATAAATAATTATTATTTATTATTGATTTTACCTATTTGAAATGGACTCACACAAGAAACACATTCATGATTTTAATTAATGAAAGGCGTTGTATATTGTCTCATCGTCGATGGTCGTCTCTCCGCTTCTCCGCGCTGGCAGGTGCGCCGCTGCAAAATGCTGGCACCCAATGTCACAATGTTGTCACTTTGTGTCTTAGTCCGTGGATTCCAAACACGCACCTAGCCTTGAATAATGCCTTTCAAAATACATAAAACTAAAGGTACACTTAAAAACTACAAAGTACATGTTCTTTGGACTTCCATTGATAGTGGACCAATTTTTGAAATTTTCTCTTGATCAGTCCATCATATAGGTAAGCAACTAGAGCTACTCCATCATTGCCAACATATATATTCTACACACGTCCTAGTTTTCACTTTAATGGAGGTTTATGGTCTTCCTTAGTTATAACTAGGAAACCGCTTAATGAATCGTAATTAAACTTCCACTTAGTTCTTTTGTGGAGTTCACTAATATACTCTTTGCTCCAAAGCTGTCGTATATGCTGCCTGTACGTGGTGCTGGTGCCGTATATGCTGTAGTAGGTGCTGGTACATAGGCAGATGTTTTTTTTAATTGCCGCATTGCCAGATTCCAGTAAGAGTTTAAGAAGGTATCCATTGAATTCTGATCTTTTTTAGACATCTAACGTCACGAAGCAAGACACCCTTACATCGTTGGGCCGAGTAGAATACTAGGCCAGAAGACCCCAGGGTAGTGCCGGATTAACCGTGTTCCGGCTAAAACGTTAACCACCGTTTCAGAGAGCTGGTATTACCATTCAGTGAACTAAAAAGACAAGGAAAAATTTAAACTTTAAATTACCCATATCTATTACCGTAAATCAGAAAATATTTCCGTTAGGCCATAAATGAATAAATAATAATAACCATAAATTTTAGATTCCTAATTTATTTTCTCCTTTGTATTCCTACTTCTTCTTTTTCATCACACCAAAAATCAGACAGTGCACTTCTCTCGATTCTTTCTCTCCATTCAACATTATGTTTACCATATTTCTTTCATCCAGCCCGAAACCTATTCGCATCTTGTAATCTCCCCTTTCATTTTTCCATCTCTGGCAGTTAAAAATTTGAGCGGGAGCGTCCGGTAATTCACAAACAGTACAGTCTGCCGAGGCAGATTTGCCTATTCTATTGGTGAAGGTGCCAAAACTACCATGTCCGGTCAGAAACTGTGTCAAGAAGTATTCTAGTTTCCTTACATTTACATTTCCACCTTACACTAGAAACTTACGGCTTAATTTTTACCACCACTACGGCTTCAGATCTGAAATAAGGTCCTTCGCTCACCTTGCCTTTCCGCTATGATTCGCCCATTCTCTCTGCCACTCTACGATTGTTCTTTCTCTCTCATTTTCATCTTTATTTCCATCCATCCTCTTTGCATACACCCTCGCTCGCTCTTTGCACAACAAAACGATCGGTATCACCGCTCTAATGACATACAGAGCCTCTTTTGATATTATCCTATATGCGATAGATACTTTGGGAAGCATTCGCCTTTGATAGTAGCAGCGGTAGCTTAGGTTACCGCCGACTGGAAAACTCCATTTAGCACCCTTCTTTTGGTGCTACCTGAGCCTCCAATATTTGGCATCAGCCGTATCAACGCTTTCAGATTTCGGTTCGCCTTCTCTACCGTCTTTTGGATTTATACTCTGAACCAGAACCAGACTCCGAGATACTTAACCGATTTAACCGGTGCAACCTCCTCACCCACTATAAAGCGCAGAGAGAATTTGTCCCGACTTCCTTTAAGAACTATTACCTCAGTTTTCTGAGATCGTTCTCTCTGATCTACCTACTAATACGACGCAGCCATGTCCGTGTTCTGTCTCGCCTTCGCAACCAGTTCGAGATCATCGGCATAAGCTACAAGAGTGTATCCCCTTGGCGTATGTAGCCTTAACACCCCGTCGTACAGGACATTCCACAGAATGGAACCTAGAACTAAATCCTGCGAAACAACCTGCGACAAACTGATGCTGGTATCTTCTACTCTTATGGACCTGTCAGTAAAGTATCTGTCAATTACGTTTACTTTCTCTTAGCCTGGACATGATTTTTCCCATGATGACGTGTTAAAGGCATTCTTGACATCAAGCAGGAAAAGAGGTGTATCCTGCGTGACTAAAGAGGTTACTTCTGTGACCGCATCTATGGTGGAACTTTTGACCATAAAGCTATATTGGCGGTCGCTCAGCGCATGTTTTTCTTCCAGCTCCTGCTCAAGGCGGCCTTTCAAAAGCTCCTCGTGCGATTTAGCTACCGGTACCTCTTTCTCTTTACCTCTACTTTTTCGGGATAAGGACAACTATAATCAAGTGCCCTAGTCTATCGACCAATAG